GGCTTGCGCCTATAGGAAACCAGAACTCAGATCATAAAGTCCTCACAAAATGAGGGCGAAATCTCTGGGTAGTGTCTTATCTACAAACCCATCTGCCTTCCAAAATTTACCCCGGAACTTAGTTCGTTAAAACTCCCTCGCCGAATAAAATAAAAAAAGAAAAGCACGGCGGGGAGGCCGGGGCCGAATTTTTGGAGCCCACAACAGGGTAGGTCTACTATAGAAGCTATACATTTATTAAGTGATTGGATGGAGAAGTATCAGGAGAATTATGAGAATCTATATATGATATTTATTGATTTAGAGAAATGTTATGATAAAGTTCCAAGTTAAAAAAGAAAGAGATTAATAATGCTTATACTCAAGTCATTAAAGACATGTATACAAGAGTTGTTTTAGATCAAGTCTTTTTCTATTTCAGTTGGATTACATCAAGGATCAACTTTAAGCCCATATATTTTTTACTTTAGTTATGTATGTTTTTACTAGACATTTGCAAGAGGATGTACTCTAGAGTATGGTTTTTGCTAATGATATTTCATATTGATAATACTAGAAAGGGAGTTGAAGATAAACTTGAATTATGGAGGACAACCTTAGAGTCTAAGGGTTTTCCTTTGAGTAGATTTAAAACTGAATACATTGAATGTAATTCTAGTAGTAATAGATCTAATTGGAGGATTATAACTTTGGGTGATCAAGTCATTAGTACATCTTTTAGATACCTTAGGTCTATTATCCATAGCAATGGTGAAATAGATAGTGATCGATATTATTCGTAGAATTCCAATTAGATGGTTGAAGTGGAGGAATGCATCGAGTCTGTTGTGTGATAGAAAAATACCCTTCCAACTTAAAGAAAAATTTTATAAGATAATGTGAGACATGCAATATTTTATGGCCCAAAATGTTAGCCATTAAATGAGATTATGAGAAGCATACAATTAAGTTAAGTACTACAGAGATAGGATGCATAAGTGGATGAATGGCTTTACTCTTAGAGATAAAATGTGAAACAATAATATACGTGAAAAGGTTGGAGTAGCTCCAACGGCGAATAAAGATTAGAGAGTGGCCTTAGATGGTTTGATCACATAAAACGTCACTTCTGATGACCTAGTTAAGAGAATAAATGTATTAAATTTGACCTATGTTAAAAAATGTAGAGGCATACCTAAAAAGAATTGGTTAGAAAATATTAAAAATTGATTTTTTTTTCTACTAGATTTTATTGAGAATTTGACTCTTAACATGACACAATGAAAAAAAAAAGATTCATATAATCAACCCAATATAGTGGAATAAAAGCTTGATGATGCTTGTTGTTGTTGTGCATATATTTTTCATGATAATCACCACAAAAAAGTTCAAGAGGGTTTCAAATGCTCTTGCATCCCACCAAAAAATGCTACGATACATACCTTATCAAGCTCATGCAACATATATTGAGCTCCCTATCCCATAGAAATCAAGAATCCTAAAAGAATGAGAATACCCTTAATGAAATTTGACTAAAATAAGTATAAAAAAACATTAAATTTAATTTAAAATAAAATTTAATCATATATTCAACTCATCTCAAAATATTACTTAAAAGACCCATCTTGAACAAATTTTAATCAAAATATTCTTATCCATTTTTAGTACTGCTGTAAATACATAACAATACACTATCTATGCACTTCAAAAAATAAAAAACGCAGTGAGTGCACAGCTGTATACTTTGATATTCTACACAGAAGCAAGTACATAGTCCATATCTAATGATTTTTTCTTACATGGAGTCCATAAAAAGATTAAATGATATCCCAAATCAAATTTGTGAGCAACATTCTCATAAATATATATATCATAATACAGTGCATAAATCCATCTGAAGTAGCCCATTGCTACATAAAATTAAGTTGTTCTCCATACACAGAATGCAAGCACATTGTTCATAAAACATAAACCATGCCAACCTCAAGTAATGAAGCCGGCGGCACCCGAAGAACCACATCTGGGCCACGACAGTTCCTTCTCAGGAAATTATAGCCGAAATCAATAACCAGCTTCCTCAAGAACGATGAGCCAGGTTTCGCCCTTACGTGCGAATGCCCCAGTATAAATGCCATCCCAGCGCCTTGAGCATCGCACAGCTCCTCAAGTTCCTCCCTGACTTTATCCTCCAGCTCCAAATCAGAGCCTTGATAGTCATCCATAAAGAACCTCACTCTCTTTTCATTGCTTACAGGCTCCAATTCTGCTGAATTAACATCCCCAGGGAACTCCACTGAAGCACTTGAAGGTGCCATGCTTACATCAATCTCAAAGTTTGGATGACCCATTAGTGAACTGCTGCTGCCAATGACAGTAAGCCCACGCTCACCTCTCTCCACTGAGCAACTAGATTCGCAGGTATCATAGGATGAATCAAGCTTTATGAAGTCAGCCAACCTGGCTATGAGCTCTGACTCGAAGGAGTCTATGTCCTGATGCACGTCTCGGTAGCCATAACGGGCAATGCATCGATATGAACGGTGGCTCGGTGGCCCGACTCGTCCAACAAGATACCTCTCGGCAGGAGGAACATATGGCACGGGAACGGATTTGATGCAGACAAAGACTAGTATGCGGTGGAATGCAGGAAGGTTGGTGACAAAGCGTGAGAAGTTAGCTGGTATGCCGGAAATGAGGCCGGTATACACAAGGCCAATCCCGGGAACCCGCACAATGCCAAGCTTGTCACCCAAGGCAAGAAGCCAGTCTAAGGAGACCTTGTTGTGGAGGTCATACTCATACTTCTTTATTGTGGCATAATGCCAAACATACATGATAGTCATGAGGAAGAAAGCTAGCAGGACTGGAAGCCAAGCACCCTCAAGGAATTTGATGAGGGAGGCAGAAAAGTAGAGGGCCTCAATGGAGCCAAAGAAGAGGAAAAAGGCAAGGGCAAGGAGTGGTGGCTTGTGCCAGCATAAGATTATAACCAAAGAAGTGAGGGATGTGGTGACCAGCATCACTGTAATCACTGCTAATCCTGCAGTAAGTAAAAATCACAGAGTTACGAAGCAGAAATAAATATAAAACATTAAAGGATACTTCTTTTATATTGTATAGTAATGAGACCATAGATGGGAGCAATTTACAGTATTTGTCCTCTAATTATGTTTCAAGTAGTATTTTAGTGAATATATAGTGTTTTGCAGAAACTACACAATGAAAACTTTTAACTTTAGGATTGCTACGTGCAGGAAGTTGAAACCGTAGAGTTTAAATTGAACGCGATATCTTAACCCCTTTTTGGCATCTCATAAACACAGCCTAGAAAAGTGCAGAGTAGGAACAGAACTTTAGCGTGAAAAATTGGAGATGATTTTTCTCGTGCTCTGCCTGGTTGAACTAGGCTTCCACTTGTAAGAAAATGAGTTATAAAGCACCACTCTTCCTTGTAATTGGAGAAACATCAATGCAATGTAAGATGTCCATGTTGTTTAAAGTGGCAATGTAGGATGGTGGTTGGCGTGATCGGATGCCATTATGGTGTCAATCTTGAGGGATACGATTGCAGGCCTAGCAGACTTATGGCGTAGATCCTAAATGCGGCAATTCTTATGACACTATCAGAAGATGTGTAAAACTTTTTTTTTTTATGAATGTGTAAAACTTGATTGCTCTTGTAGCATCTCATAGGAATTTTAAAGGATACACAGCCTACCCAACTTAAAAAATTACTCTTAATGAGCTACTTATTTTCTGAGAAGGCATTAAAGTCCATGTCCAAAAAATTCCTCATAATTATCACAACAGATACAAATCATGCCCTCCCGTAATTAAAATATGAGCAAAAAATGATGCTCTTGGGCCAACGGTCTGTAAATGCTCCACAAGTCAAATAATCTAAGTTTCGTCCTCCTCCTTGAAAGGATTGGAGCCAATTTGACTTGGATTAACAAACAAATGCCCAATCATAAATCTACAGGGATATTCAATTTAAAATCCACATTAGGCCTTCAAAGGCTTTTTAAATGAAATGCATTATAGTAGAATCTCGGATATTAGCCTATGATAATTCATGAGGTCAATAACTTAACTCGATCCTCTATTAGAGAGCAAATAAAGTTGACAAGGTTTAAATAATAAATCACTTAAATATCCTCGTTGATGGCCGTGTTGACAGAAAATCTCAATCGGAAGCTTTATTTTCAAAATACTCGAACCTTGAAGCAAAATACAAATATATTTTAAAAATACTCAAACCTTAAGGCAAAATACAAATATTTTAAAATGATTCGTCGACGACACATTGATGGTCATGTTGAATATAAATCTCAACTGGAAGGGTCAATTCTCAAATCTTGTTAAAAGTTAAGAATATAACATATATTAAATTCAAAACTTTTAAATATAAGTTTAATCACCAAAAACTTAAAACTAAAAATCATCTGCCTCTTGCAATCGTTTGTTATGAGTGATAAATTTGAAATTAACTTTAGCTCACAAATAACGAATATTATGTCGTATGTATCACCAAGATTCATTCTCAAATAATCTCTCGCCAGAAAGAATGTGACATGTGTCCTCTAATTGAGTGTTTTTACTCCAAAATGGCACTACTATATTACAATAATGGCTAAAGCCCGATGTTCCCTAATGGTATCAAGTCCATGCATAATGAATCATAAGATTACTCAATAGGCACAAATCGCTTTTGTCAGTTAAGGTGGACTCAAATGTATCCGCAGAAAAACATCCACCTCATATCTATAAGGTATTCTTGGACGAAGCAACTCATGGTTACTGACAAAGTTCTTTCTTCCAGGTTGGGTCAACTACCTCCTCTGACTAAGTAGACCGAGGGTTCATGACAGCCCGGGATGACGGAATCATGGGATTTTGATCGAGCCTATCTTCATTCCACGCATCACCTATTTTAATTATCTAGTGATAAATTTAAAATCATAAACTCCAAAATCCAAAACTAAATTCAAATTTTAAAATTGTTGTTACCATACATTGGGTACTTAAAATCTACCTCACGACTAGCCTTAATCAAAAGTTCTTTCTTGTTATAAGCACAAGTAATTAACTATAGGGGCTTGCGCCTATAAGGAAACCAAAACTCAGGTCATAAAGTCCGCATAAAATGAGGGCAGATCTCTGGGAAATGTCTTATCTAAAAACCTAATCTGTCTTCTTAAAATTTACCCAAGAACCTAAATCCGTTAAAACTATTCATGTCCAACAAAAGACAGCGTGGAGAGGCCGGGGAGCAAATTTTCGGAGCCCGTAGAGAACTTCTTAAAATTGTAATAATTTCATTTCTAATCTAGAAATTACAAGTAAACTTGCTATGGATTCAATGAAGGATAAGGAAAAATCTAAAGATAAAATCAAAGAGTTTTGATCAATCTTATGCATCGCTTTGAATGATAATGACTAAGGTTAATCAAGTAATTAATAGCTTTAATCATGTCAGATAGATCTCAAATTCATTAGGGGAGCCTTCTAAGCTATCATATATATCACTTAATATTTTCTAAAGCAACAGAAGGTCTGCATATACCCTAATTGAATTTTCAAAGCTAAAGATAATTAAATGACCTAGAACTATGAAAAATAATTGCAATATATCCTTCACTCTAAAACACAACAACAACAACATCAAGCCTTTATCACACTATGTGGGGTCAGCTACATGAATCATTTTTCTCCATTGTGTCCTATTAAGAGTCAAATTCTCATTTATAACTAATAAGGAAAAGTCATTTCCAATTTTCTAACCAAGTATTTTTAGGTTTACCTCTACCTTTCTTAACATAGGTTAAATCTAATACATCTACTCTCGTAACTAGGTCATCATAAGGCCGCCGGTTTATGTGACCAAACCATCTGAGGCGACCCGCCGGTTTATGAGACTAAACCATCTAAGGCGCCTCTCTCTAATCTTATCTGCCACTGGAGCTACTCCAACCTTTTCACGTATATGCTCATTTCATATCCTGTCTCTAAGAGTAAAACCACTCATCCACCTGAGCTTCCTCATCTCTGCATCACTTAACTTCATATTATACTTCTCTTTTAATGGCCAACAATCTGTGCCATAAAGCATTACAGGTCTAACCACCATCTTATAGAATTTTCTCTTAAATTTGAGTGGTACTTTTCTATCACACAACAAGCCCGATGCACTCCTCCACTTCAACCATCCAAATTGAATTCTACTAATAATATCCCCATCTATCTCATCATCACTCTCAACAATAGACCCAAGATATCTAAAATGTGTACTCTTATTAATGACTTGATCACTCAAAGTCACAAACAGCCACTAAATCTATTACTACTAAAATTACACCATATATTTGGTTTTAGATCAACTCAAATGAAAACCTTTAGACTCTAAGGTTGACCTCTTTAATTCAAGTTTACCTTCAACTCCCTTTTAGTCTTAACAAGAAGAATATAACCAAGAAAAAGCATACACCAGAGAACATCCTCTTGCAAATCCCTTGTAAGAATATCCTTCACTCTAAATGGCATAAAATTTTAGGCATGAATTTCTCTGATTTTCAAGATCAAAGGAAAATTTTATCAAAAAAAGAAAAATTTTCCTAGATCCTTAATAAATCATCAAAAGCTTGGTATGAACTTTAGAAAAAATATAGAAAATCAATTTAAAGTCAAATAAATTTTAAATTTTCATGAATGATATTGAGGTGATCACAAACCTCTGAATTTAAGTTCATGGGAATTTTTAAGGTCATTTATTTGAAAATTTTGCAAACCTGAATTTTAGGCTAACTTTAGGCTAGTATTGAATATTCCTAATTCAATAATAGGAAACTTCAATAATGCAATAAAATTCAATAAAACTCCTAAACAAGTAGAACTCTATAGTTGTAATTTAGGAGAGAAATTTCACCAAAAGTTGAGCTAAAACTCAAATTCTAAAAATGCATTTTAGATCATCTATATTTTGAACAACTAAAATAATCCAAAACATCAAAAAATGATCCCAATGATCCAAAAACCATTAAAATTATATAAAATAAGGCCTTTGTCAACATTAATATAACATCATACAAATTCAATTGTGGTGTGATCTTTTAGAATGTGAGCGAGAGTGCAAAACTTAAACATCTATTTTTGGATGAACGCTAAAGATTCTGCGAGTTATCACATGATAAATTTGTTGTTGGGAAGTAATATTTGAAAACTTTAACAGGATGACTCATTGATGAAGTCTTCTTCATGGGGGTCACATGCACCAACTAGCATGAATGGATTAAAAGTAAATTTGGGGATGGAACTACACAAAAAAAGGTGCAAGCATTGATGTTGCCTACAAAGTGAGGAACATTATTGGCAAATGATGAAATTGTATATCGAGATATACACTACAGGAAAACCACACATTACCGCCATATTTTTCGGCAAAAAATTGTTAATTTTTTGGAAGATCTGAAAGATTTCCTGCAGATTTCCGATTGAATAAATTTCGACGATAAAACGAGCACCGAAAAAAATTTTCGTAGAACAAAAACTGCCGGAAAATTTTAGTCGAAATTTTTTCGGCAGCTGTCAAGAGAAAAAGGCCGCCGGAGTAACTAAAAATTTAATTAAAAAAACATACAGCCCAGCTGCTCGTGACAGCTACCCGCCAGCGAAAGCTACCCTTCCTGCCCGTCCGCGCTACCGCTCCTTCCCTTCCGACCTGCCCGACATCCTTTAAAATAATTATTACTTAAACAACTTAATTTTAATTATTTAAAGTTATATTAAATTTATTGAATTAATAAGTAATTAAAATAGGCTGTAAAATTATTAATTAATGAAATTACGTGTATATATATATATATTTCAGAAATTATTGAAATCCGTCAAAAAATCTAAAGGAAAATTCGTTGAAAACAAATTCACTGGAAATCCGCCGGAAAATCTTCCTGAAATCAGTTGGAAATATTTCATCTTTATCCGTCGAAAATCCGCTGGAAAATAGTTCGCCGAAAATTCCGCCGGTAATAAGCGATTTTCTTATAGTGGTAGAACATGCCATTCACTAGTTGAGTGGTGGACAAGGCTCACAAAAGAGAAGATCTTTTGTGATTGCACCATGTGTTGAACTTGCAATTTTTGAGAGTCGAAGAAAAAATACTATCGATAATCACATTCTTCCCACAATCAAGTGGGATAAAAGTTCTTACTTTGTGATTCATTCATGTGTTGAATGCATGATCTTCAAGGATTAGAGACAAAGTACCATCAAAACCCACATCTACCCCAATCATGAGGGAACGAAGGCTTGACTGCATTGCCCTTGGTTCGCGGATTGATTCCTCATCTGGCAAGAGATTAAGTGTGATATTTAAATGTTTCACATGATTCATCTATTCTCTATGGATGAAGCTTTCGAACATGAGTTTGTTGATGTCATTATACATGAATGATTGTCGACATTTACCAAGTCCTTGTGATGTAACACCATGACAAAGGTCACAAAATAAAGCTCTACGTCAAGATTTAAGTCATTCATCATGCACAACTCTCCATGCAAGCTCATGGACAACCCATAATTATTATAAAATCATTGGATAATAATTAAGAAGCTTAATTTAAGATACCTTAATAGACATGTGGACCATACCAATGAAGGAGGCAAAAATATTTAGAATTTGCTTGATTTCAAGATCACTCTGCTTGCATTATTCGACCAATCCAAAATTTTCAAGCATATAAAACCTTTAAATTCTATTTTATTTCTCTTATTTTCTTCTCTTTTGTATTAGGATAAATCATCAATCAAAGTAAAAGTATTTTATTGGCTCCTTAAAGCTTTACAAAGTTATCAAAGTTTGAAAAAGGCCTGTAAATAAAAACCTTGCTTTATACTTTTTTATTCATTAAATAAAAATTATTTTTACTTATATAAAGTTTGTGCGGAAAGATTTAGTGGTTGCTCTACACTTTGGTAAAGCATGATAGTTAATCCCCTAGAAGGTTTAATGAGTCCTCGGTCATCTTTTCTTATCTTATTCAACCTCTTTCCTTACACAATCTTCATCTTCTATACATATTCTCGAGCCTGACTTCCCTCAACCCTAAAACCCATCTAACCTCTTCAAAATTCCATCAAATATTCTTTCACATCCCTCATAATCTTCCAAGGCCTCAACTCCCTAATAACCCTCATATATCATAGTCAAATTCCCTATATATAGAGATAATTTGCTAGTTTGAGCACTAGTTTAAAAAATATTAAACTCAAACACTGATCCAAACTCATAAAAATACAAGTTAGTTCCCTAAAATCTCAAACCTTGGACGATGCAAACAAAGGATGCAGTGTAAGATATGATACACTAAGTCCTCCAAATTTTTCTTCAACGAAAACTTGGTCCGTTGATAGACTAAAATTTTTAATATCAAATCTATCTAAAACTTGAATTCTAGTTTTATCACCACCCAAATAACCCTTCTATCACCATCATAAAGGGACATCAATTAAATTATTTCCTTCACACTAAAGATCATGTAGACCCTACATCATGTTATATGAAAAAATCAAAATATTATAGTGCAAATCAATCTAGGTTGCCTTCACCCTTCTTAATATCACACATACCTAACCAAGTGAACAACAGTGACACAAAATTGTTACATTGAAAACCAAAAGGGAAAACCCAAATGGTCATTCCCAATTAACTTCCACTTTTTTTTTTTAAAGTTACAAACTATGGCCCTTCCCCAAACTACATAAAGCATCAATGAAATGTAAAAGAAAATGTTGTGGTATTGTTGACAGTGGCTACATATGATGGTGTTCGATTGTGTGCTCAAAAGCCGATTACAACATAATTCTTGATAGAGATCATTACAACATTAGTCAAGCTAAAGCATAGACCTATTCATATGATGCAAACAAAGGATGTAGTGTAAGATATGATACACTGATTGCAGCTCACAGGAATTCTCAGAGAATATAGACATCCTTCCCTACTTGGAAAATCTCCATGAATGAAACGAATAAGGGGCTATTTATAATTTTTTAAAGTATCAACAGCACATTGGCGCAGTCAGACAGCTCCAGCATGTTCTCATCAAGGAAGAATAAGAAAGCTGGTTTGGTAGCCCCCCTACTACCGTCCATGATGGCATTTTGATAGTTATCAAAATGAGCCAAAGCAACGCATGATAATGAGGTCCAATCAGTCATGGTCGTCCCGCAGCAAAAACAAACTAGTTAAGCTAGTTTAAGACCTTTCAGACATCCACATTGGATCATATTTATGCCAGCTAATTCAATGCAATAAAATTATTCTTCCGAGTAAATCAAATACCACTTCAATCCTCCTGAATTCCGTCGCGATTGGCACTTTGCGTAAAAAATTGTGCTTAATAAGAAATAACGTTTTATGAACCCAACATGAATCAATTACAAAGTAGAAATTTCTCGGATAATTACAACATAAATATTGTATGGAAGTGGTATTCTATGAGAAATAGTGCAAAATACTAACTGAATTTTACTTTAATAAACACTGCAAGAACACCAAACCTGACGCATTGCCCATGTGCTTGGTATTTCTGAACCCAACAGCTACTGCGACGCAAAGGATCATCAGCATCCAGTTGATTTCTGGTATATAGATCTGGCCATGTATCTTGTCAGAAGTGTGAACAACCTTTACCCTTGGGAAGCAACCAAGTGACTGACTTTGGTTTATGATGGAGAATGTTCCACTGATGATTGCTTGGCTTCCCACCACGGATGCTAATATTGCTATCATAAGAACAGCCCACCTTACACTTTCTGCAAGCACAAAAGTTAAAATTAAAAAAACAAAAAGAAGGGAAAAAGGAAGGTTTCAGTAGTATCTAAAACTATGTTTGTTTGAGTTAAGACGGTCATACCAAATCAGATGAAAAGGGAAAACATGGGACGAATAACATAACATACAATTAAAAAAAAAAAGAGAACTATTTATATTTTAGTCTTTGGTTATGAATATGAGATAGGTAACAGAAACTTCTATTTAACAAGTTGGATAATCAAAGTTAATTAAAGTAAATTAAGAGTCTATTACTTTTTCTAAAGAAGAGACCAAAGCATTGAACGTGTCATTACAACTACTAATCAAATGGGAGGATACAAGAAGAAAACATATTCAAGGATAGTTGTGCTACTCATTGATCTAAGATCATCCCAACAACACACCACAGTTGTAATATGATATCAAGCTGGTCAAGAATTATTGTACTACATTTTAAGCTTCTAAATATTGGTCATTTTCAAGTATCCATATCTATCAATAAATTTCATTTAGAATTGGATGGTTCACACTCAGGGTTAGATCCTAGAGCCCTCATCATAATGGAATGTTAAAGAACAAAAATTGTAACCTAAGCATCAAAATATGGGAATTTCTTCATTGTGATTTATTTGAAGAGGTCTACATGAATCTTCCACCAGTATATGGAGGTAAGGAGGAGCTTAATAACACAAACAAAAAAATGGTATGTCATCTCTAAAAATTCATTTATGGAATTCAATAGGCCTTGCATCAAAAAATTTCCTTATTCCTTTAATTTTGTTTTATTCCATCAAAATCTGACTATTCTTTCTCTACAAGAGGAAGTAATTCTAACTTCATTGTCTTGTTAGTTTATGTTGATGACATCATAATCACGTATAAATATTTCCCTCATTACTTCACTGAAAAATTTCCTTGCATACACAATATAAACTCAAAGATTTTGACACAAAATATTTTCTCAAACTCAAGATAGCATGATCCACATCCGGTATAGCATTATCCCAATGCAATTATACTCTACACTTGCTCGAAGGCACGGGATGTCTTAGGACCAAACTAGTGTTCACACCCACGGACCCCAAAACCTTTTTCAATGCTTCTAACGGTGACCCATTGACTGATGCTTCTCAATACAGAAGGCTTGTGGGTAGACTTATCTACCTTACTTCGTCTCAACCAGATATCAGATTTGTAGTCCACAAGCTAAGCCAATATCTAGCTCACCCAAGAACATCACACATGGCCACCGCTCATCACATTCTCAGATATCTCAAGGCCATGCCTAGGCACGGTATTTTTCCCCACTATCATTCTTCAACTAAAAGCATTTTATGATGCAGATTGAGCTTCATGCCCGAACACAGACGCTCTACCATTGGATTTTGCATCTTCTTGGGTGATTCCCTCATTTCATGAAAAGCAAAGAAACAACACACTATATCCCGATCATCAGCCAAGGCCGAATATCACGCATTAGCAACCACCGTCAGTGAACTCACATGGTTGAATCAATTACCCATTGATTTTGATATCCAACCATCCACTCCTACCTTGCTATTTGTGATAATCAAGCCATCATCCACTGAGATCCATTGGGAAGAACGATGGCCGGAAAGAAACACTTGGGGGACTCTTCCTCTTCGAGGAATGGAAAGTTATGGAGGAGTCAGGCGAAACTGGGGAGACCCACGAGTGAGGAAGCTGAAGATGTCCGTCTTTGAGGGTAAAGACGGCCATGACTGGATTTATAAGGTGGAGCGATATTTTGCTGTCAATGGGCTGACGGAGGAGGAATTGACAGCAGCGGGAATGTGCTTGGAGGGAAAAGCCTTAGCCTGGTATCAGTGGCGTGACAGACGGGAGCCTATCCGGAGCTGGCGGGAGTTCAAAGAATGCTTATTAGATCGTTTCCGAGCAGATGAGGGAGGAGACTTCTATGAGCAATTCTTTGCCCTTACCCAGGAAGGCACGGTGGCAGATTACCGGGATAGGTTTGAGTATCTGGCTAGTAGGCTGGATCATATCTCGGAGTCAGTCCTGGAAGGGAATTTCATGAAGGGACTGAAACCGGAGGTAAGAACAGCAGTCAGAGTGTTGGAGCCAAGGAATCTAAGTAAGTTCATGGAGTTGGCCCAGTTGGTGGAATTCCAGAAGAAGCCTGCAAGAGGGGCTCAAGGAAACTGCTCAGAAGGCTCTTACAGGACGACGATCACTTTTCTAGCACCCAAGGGGCCTGCATCAAGCAACATTAATGAGACCATCCGGGAGAAGCCAGTAGGAGGAGGAAGGGGGGAAAATTTCAAGAGGCTGACAGATAAGGAGATGCAGGAGAAGAGGGCAAAGGGGTTGTGCTTCAGATGTGATGAGAAGTACCTGCCAGGGCATAGGTGCAAGGACCGAACTCTTCAGATTCTCATTGTCTATGAAGACGAGGAAGACGAGGAGGGAGGTGGGAGCAGATCTGAAGAGGAGGAAAAGTTGCACCAGAATTTGGCAGAAGTCTCTGTGAACTCTGTAGTGGGATTCACTCTGAGTCACACTATGAAAGTGAAAGGAGAGAGCTAACCGTGAGGAGTTGGTGCTAATTGATAGTGGGGCTACTCAATATTTCATTTCCACTCATGTCGTCAATCAACTGGGAGTGAAATTGGTGGACACCGGTTGTTATGGGGTGATGATGGGTACAGGGAAGGTGGAGAAAGGCCAGGGAATCTGTAAAGGAGTGGTGTTGACCATCCAGGGGATTCAAGTAAGAGAGGACTTTCTCCCACTAGAGTTAGGAAGTACTGGTGTCATCATGGGAATGAAGTGGTTGCAAACCTTGGGGGAAACCAAGGACAATTGGGGAGCACTCACGATGGAATTAATGGTGGATGGGAGTAGGGTGGTTATAATAGGAGATGCAGGGCTATCCAAAGCCATCACATCACTTAAGACAATGGTTAGAGACGTACAAGAGGTGGGGGAAAGATTATCTGGTGGGACTACACAGGCTGGATGCGATCAGATTGGAAGAGGTAGGGGATGTTCCTCCTTCCGTGCAGCCCTTGGTTCAGCAATACAGTAAAGATTTTCAGTCACCTCAAGGATGGCCACCTCCACCGGAACACGAGCATATCTCCACCTTGAGGACAAGGTGAATTTTTGGGAGGAGAGTATTGTTAGACCGGTCTAGTGGACCGGTCCAGCCGGTCCATGCAGGATCGGCCCAGACACGAAATGGCGGACGTTTCCGCGTGGGCGGAGGCCGCGCGGCTTGCAGGACTATTTTAGGAAGGGATTTTGAGGAAGTTTAGGAGGGAAATTGATTGTAGGGACTGTTTAGGGAATTCCTTTTGATTTGTATGCTTTTGAATTTGGCTGAAATTTGAGATCTCTTAGATTTAAGTTTTCTTTGGGCTCTAGCGGCATCTAGAGATTTGGGAGAGATCGATCCTCCTCTCGAATTGAGGATCAATTGTATCTTTGCTGTTTTATTCATCTACTAGTGAAATACAAGCTTTTCTTTGAGTTTTCTCTCCGTTTTCTCTATAATTTCTGTTGTTTTTCTGTGATAACCTGCTGTCCAACTCTATAAACAGCAAATTTTCTGCTTTCTCACTTCCGATTTGACTAGGAATTACTTGAAATCAAGTATTTCCTATCAACCTATCTAACTTACTACGTCTCAACCAGATATCAGATTTGTAGTCCACAAGCTAAGCCAATACTAGCTCACCCAAGAACACCACACATGGCCACCGCTCATCGCATTCTCAAATATCTCAAATCCATGCCTAGGCAAGGTATTTTTTCCCCACTACCATTCTTCAACTAAAAGCATTTTATGATGCAGATTGGGTTTCATGCCCGAACACAAGACGCTCTACCATTGGATTTTGCATCTTCGCTTGGGTGATTCCCTCATTTCATGAAAAGCAAAGAAACAACACACTATATCCCGATCCTCAGCCAAGGCCGAATATCACGCATTAGCTACCACCATCAGTGAACTCACATGGTTGAATCAATTACCCATTGATTTTGATATCCAACCATCCACTCTTACCTTGCTATTTGTGATAATCAAGCCATCATCCACATTGTCAGGAATACTACCTTCTACAAACAAACAAACAAACAATATAGAGATCGATTGTCATTTTGTTCATGACTAGATTGTTGATGGATCTGTAAAGCTTTTACCTATCAAATCTATACATCAACAAGCTGACATGTCGCTAAAGCATTGTCTCTCACCATAGTATCAGCATTATTATCCATGATGATCGTCAAGAACAGATATAGTGCATCTTGAGGGAGAATATTAAAATAATTACTCATAATAGTTTTTTTACTAAACTTTTCTTCTATTTTTCTTTATTTCATTTCCTACTCATACCTATATACATATAGGTACTAATGTAACAAATGACATGAGAAAATAAAATTAAAAAGCCCTTTCCACTATACACCTTCTTATTTCTTACAAAAATATTAATATAAGTACTTATAATAGTTTCTATGCTTAGCTTTCCTTCTATTTTCTTTATTTCCTTTCCTACTCATATAAATGATGCAAGTAAAAAAATTAAAAATGCCTTTCCACTGTACACTTTCCTCTTTCTCAAAAAAAATATTATCAGAGCTGAAAGCTGATTCTTGATTGAGAGCTCGGGATAAAGAATAAAAAAAACTATTATGAGTAATTATATAAATATTGGCCATAAGTATATATCCCATAAGAACTAAATCCTTTTGATAGGATAGTCATGATTGGGATATTAAATCAAGAAAATAAAACTTGAATGTGGTTTTCAAACTTTTAAGATAATAGCAAAAGAAGATTAGAAAATCTAAATCAAAGTAAATCAATCAAAAATATCAAATGTCATGACCAACCATTCCAATGAAAGTGTTATTTACAACCTTAACACGAGACACTCTATCACTAGATTTTGCATCTTCTTGGATGATTCTTTTATTTCATGGACGGCAAAGAAACAATACACTATAT